TAGTGTGCATCCTAAGATTTATCGTCCATGCAAGTTTGCTCATTATAGGGCTCATAGTTAATTGGAAATGAAACCTGCATCAAAAACTAACATTTTCACTCATCCACAAATTGTAAGTCAGATTCAGCATCCAAAGCAAGTCTGGTATTATGTATCCTTAGATGTATCATCCATGCAAGTTAAGTCATTATAGGGCTCATAGTATCTTAGAAATGAGACCTGCACCAAAAACTTTAACCTGTTCACTCAATCGGAAATTGTCAGATTCAACATCTGAAGCAAGCCTGGCAGTATGCATCCTTAGATGTATCATCCATGCAAGTTTGGTCAACATAGGGCTTATAGTTCCTTGGAAATGAAACCTGCACCAAAAACTTTTACCTGTTCACTCAACCGGAAAATGTAGGTCAGATTCAGCATCCTAAGCAAACCTGGTAGTATGCATCCTTAGAAGTATCATCCATGCAAGTTTGGTCAACATAGGGCTTATAGTTACTTGGAAATGAAACCTGCACCAAAAACTTTAACCTGTTCACTTAACCGGAAAATGTAGGTCAGATTCAGCATCCGAAGCAAGCCTGGTAGTATGCATCCTTAGATGTATCATCCAAGCAAGTTTGGTCAACATAGGGCTTATAGTTCCTTGGAAATGAGACCTACACCAAAAACTGCACCAAAAATGTTAACCTGCTCCAAAAACATTAACCTGGTCATTCCTTTGCTGAAATTGCAGCATCTGAAACTTTGACTGTTACAGTGAAACACACTTAAAGCTTCCTCCATGCATGTCTAATCAATATAGTACATAGAAGTACTTAAAAAGAAAACTGCTCCAAAAAACTTAACCTTAACCTGGGACGCCGACGCCGACACCGACACCGACACCGACGCCGAGGGTATTACATAAGCTCCCCCAACTTCGTTGAGGTGAGCTAAAAATGATTTTTAAAACATTTTTGTGATTTTATTACATGTTATGTACATCTGTTTATATTGCACACTTTGAAGGAAATCAAGCACAATATCCAATCGCCACTCCATCACATCTAGGATCGGATCCTGCCCACAGAGTCGGGGTGACTTCTTTTCTACATTCCCGACCCCTGAAAACAGGTCCCTTTGTAATAATCTGTCCTCTACCAAAACGACTTCTGTTCTCTCCACAAACGGGACCTTCAACTCTGTGACCAAAACTTGTCAGTTTTTGTACAATGTCTGAGGAGATCCCCTCTTCCACAGCAATAACTGAACTGTCATAGCTGCAATTCAATTAAAATTGCAATAATAAATTATTGAAAAAGTTGTAATTGTACTTGTTTAATTAAAAGGGGGTGCGTTTTTTGAGGCAAAATTACATGAATTTGGGAATGAAATTTCAAAAAACTTCCAGAAGCATAAAATATTTATCCCTTTACTTTTTTTAATAATAATTCTCAAACACGCGTTTTCAAAATTATTAGAAATAAAATAATTTAAATTTGAAAAAATCGTTTAATGAATAGATTTGATGATAATAGTTCTTGTATCCACTGTTTACCCGTAGCTTCCTCCCACACACAATCTGGGGGCGTCTAGGGCCTTCTGGGGGTCCATCCCGAACTCAATCATGTTTAAAAGCGTTTGAACCTGTCCCTGTGGCTGCATGAACCCTCCCATTACACCAAAGCTCACCAAAAATTCGTCTATAAGTGATAGAGGAAATAATACAATAATGTCTCTGCTAAATATTTTCAGAAATATTTGATAATGGTGTTTTTATTCTTGCTGCTGATAAAATCCATCCAGTCGTAAAATTGAAATATGAAACTGTTAATTGTAAATGCGGGTAAAAGCTTTCTCAAATACTCACTGCTTTCAGTATCAGTCACCATGCCAGGAATAATTGTATGGAATGGTCGTTTGTTTGGGGCAATAACGTTAGGATGTTTTGGGTCCAAAGAAAATCCAAAGCCCCTATTCTAGAGATAAAAAATATTATATCGAGAGTATCATACCCGCTACCACATCAAGAAATCCATACATAATACATATACGCTACACAAATTTGCAAACGCGTCATTGTGACAATCCAACATGGCACGGCTCATGATTGTATTCATAACATCCAAATTTTAATATGTTCTATTGATTCCAAAATATTTTTTTCATGCATATTAAATTGTTAGTTATACTAAAAATGTATTTTATAACTTTTAAGTCATAAATGCAAATTTTTCATATGAAAAAAAATTCACTTGCACAAACATATTATTTCTAAAATTTATATCAGTAATTCATAATCAAAGAAATATTTCAAAAAAGTTAAAAAGTAAAGTTCTACATATGTTAATCTGTGTAGATTATCCAATTATTTACGTAAATGTACTATACATAACTATAATAAACCTTTAATCTTTAATCATAGTATAATTCTTAGTAAATTATTAAGACAAGGGGTTCAAGGGCCTTTAATCGCCCTTCTGATAAATTGTACAATCTATATGAAGCCTCTAAGTATCCTGAATATTTGAATAAAGCCTTTAAATTCCAAAAGTAGGTCATCATGACCCACGTTTTGGTTCAAACACAATGAGAGCGTAGAATCATCAACACACCAAGTGAGATGATTCTAAGCCCTTTTAATCTGAAATATAACGATATAATAATTCGACTTCAAAAGTAGGTCACAGAGACCTACTTTTTGGTAAACATCCTTTGAGACCCAAGATGCCTCAAATGACAAAGTTTGATATATTAAGACTCTATTTGAATATTTAAACAATGCCTTGAAATTCCGAAAGTACGTCAATCTAACCTACTTTTTATTTCACTCATTTTCTGAGGACCAAAGATGCATCAACTGACAGAGTTTGACGATTGTAACCTTCTAAGTACCCGAAATATTTCAAATTTTCCAACAAAAATCCGAAGTAGGTCATTGTGACGTGAGTAGTCGATTACTGTGAAGATTAATGATTCTTAGAAAAATTATTTAAATATAGCCATAAAACCATAAAACCATAAAACGTCACCGTGACCTACCTTTTGGTTGACGTTCTCCGAAGACCAGGATACATCAACTGACAAAGTTTGAATGATTCTAAGCCAATTTTTACCTGAGATATCTAAACACAGCCGTAAACATTCAAACGTAGGTCAATGAGACCTGATTCTTAAAGGGAACGTTTGTTCAGAATTTTAATTTCTATATATAAAACTGTACCTCTCATATAAAAAGAAAAGCTGCATCTTATAAAACTGCACTGCTGATAACAGCAGTTAAATTTGGTTCTGATAGCTTAATAGGAGAAGCATGGGGAAAACCTTATCATGGACGCTGCTGACGTAGCGGAGACAGATTAAATCCCAGATGTATAGATTAAATGTGTTTATGACTACAGAGAAATAAAATTCCTTATATCAGAAATAAGCTGATTCAAGCAATTGTTTATTTATAGGAGATAGATTAACATCCTTCTTGGACATATTTGAACTTTAATACGTTTGAATTAAAATCAAGCAAAATATACAACCTTTGCATCTAAGTTTTTAATAAAAGTCGAATCCTGACCAGTTTATGGCTTTTTATTATTAATTCCTTCTTTTATTTTCCTGAATTCTGAAACACTAGAATCATAAGAATGTGAAATTATATTTTCTTTATTACCTCAGATCTAAAGTTAAATTGCAAGCACTTAATTGGCATACTTGATTCCGACATATTTACACTTAGAGCCAATGTGTCCCCAATACGTCATAAAAGTGAGGATTGTAGGAAATATTTAGCAAGCACGATAACTTTCTCTCAACATGGTAGCCTCCAGCAGCCAGTGCACTCATAACTTTGGTATCTTATTTCTTTATAATTAAATAAAAACAAATGGCAGTATCAGGTAAAATCATTAATGACCATTCAATGAATGAAATATCAAAAAGTTATTCTAGACCCGACGTTTCCTTTAACCTCTCAGTACCCGAAATTATGACCTTAAATGTTAAGAAATGATAAGCCATAAAATTAAAAAAAAACTTGGTCAAAGTGACCTACTTTTCTGTTGACGTTGTTCAAGGGTCCACGATGTATCAACTGAAAAAGTTTGATGATCATAGACCTTAAAGTGTCCAAAATATGCCTCCAAATCAATCTGATAACGAATGCCTGCAAAATTAAAAAAGTAGGACACTTTGACCTACTTTTGATTTAACATGATGTGAAGTCCTAAGATGCATTTAGTTTGGTGATAATCTGCCTCGTGGTTTTATAGAAGTTTATTAGCAACCAGTACTTTTGGATTATTTATCTGATTATCTCCCCTTCTTTAAAAGTCTCAACCTTAGTTTTTGTAAAAATGGTAGCCCTAGGGCCAAGGATACCCTGTAACAAATTCGACAATCATTGGCCGATGGGTTCTTGAGTTGTGACCCATATTTCTAAAATAATAGCCCTTGGGCCAAAGATACATGTACCCTGTAACAAATTCGACAATGATTGGCCAAGTGGTTCTTGAGTTATGGCCCATATTCTAAAAGGTTTACACACATCGCACAAATGGTCATAGCATCACATGTAGTAGCTTTTTGAGCCTTTGGCTCAGAAAAGCTAAAAATGGTTAATCTTGCAGACCTTCATTTTACTGTACTCATATATTGACAGGTATAAGCTTTACTTGTAGGGTGAAGCCACATCCCTCAGGTACGAAGCCCGTACCGAACCCCATGAAGTTGCTATTGATAAAGGAACATGCATTGCCTTCTTTGTCTGCCGTGGTAAAATACACAGTATCATTCCCAACGCTAAAACTGCCTCGACGGAAACCACTTGATGCACTGTATAATGCAGGGAGAAAACAAAAAGCAAACAAAAATCAAATGCAAAATGAAACAAAGCATTTGCTGGAAACGGAAATGCATCTTTGGTAGGACTTTTGTTTCTGCATGTTGTCTTACTAGTCACATGACGAAATTTAAGCTGAGCACGACTCGTAAATAGGCATATTCCATTTTTGATATCATTATCTACAATACATCAACACCAGGGTATACTCTTCCCATTCGTTACACCTGACTGCTTTACTGTCTCGGGTATCGGCGTGGAATGGCGACCCGTGTTCGTGCTGGTTATCTTGCATTACCTTTGTTTACATTTGATTGCAGTTACATACGTGTATTTGTGTTTATATACTAGTATTGCACTGATCTGTACAACTATTGTACTTTCTTTGATATCTTACTTTCCTGCATTGGAAGAAATACACAGTTATTTTTTTGTCACTGTATAGCAAACCAGCGACAATTCTTTACACTTAACAGTGACTAAGTGACCCGCTCTGTTTATAGGGGCCTGCAGATATGGCGAGATATCGAACAAATATGGTGAACAAAATTCTTTTTATGAATCGTGTTCAGATTTTATATTCACAAAATCACTTGAAGTTCGCATCTTTTTTGGATTTTAATGAGGTTTAGGTTCAGGAAACTGTTTCAGGAACTCATCTTGGTTGACTAAAATATCATATGGATATTTCATCCTTAGAACGTGAACTTTAAGTACATGTACTGCATCAGACCTGATCCAACCTCTGGTAGTTTGAAAGATTGCTTGCCGATCTCTCAATTTATATTGTGTAAATGAACTTTCCAGCTTGATAACAGTTACTTATTTTCATATTTTATCCATTTTCTGTTTGATTTTAGTTCCCATTATGAATTACCTACCTATCATTCTTTATCAGTCCCCTTCTCTTGGCAGCATACTCTTTGGATAGTAGTTGAGATGTGGGAACCTCTACTTGGGACATGTCGGAACAGAACCATGTTGTATCAGCAAAACTAATTTTCAATGCCTCGGCTATATTGTGGATATATTCAGCAGAATTGTGACCCATTCCTAAAATCATGATATTAAAAACTACAATATATAATTTTAATAAAGCGATTATTTATTATTTTGTTATTCTATCAGAAAACCTTGTCATTTTTTAGCATTAATTATTAATGACTTCGAAATATGAAAATTCTGGTATCCAATACATTGGATACATCGGTGCAAACAAAGTAGATTTTACCCAGAAGTGAGCAGGACATCGAATGTATTTCTAGGACGTGAGCAAATTTTGAAAGAAAACAAACACATAGAAGAAATTTCATATATTTTATACCAACCAATGTGTTGGTAGAACTCTTAACCGAATTTGCAAGCAAGGTTTAAATTCCAGGCGTCAATATATAATTCTGTAATAGCTAAGCAACATAGATAATACACGCATTATTCTTATTTTAGAATGTTTCACTCGTGCATAGACATATCCTCAGCTTTTGAGTCGGCCATAGCGCTTATATCGCCATAACAGTGACGGATCTTTATTATGATCATTATGCTAGCACCTTCCCCTACATGAGAGCATTATTAACGTAATTACTACGTGATCTATTAACGCGCAAACCATTAAGCTATTGGGAGCACTGTTCTAAATATACTTTTGTATACATTTGCAACAGTACACCTGTCTCAGAATTATAAAAGGCGGGCCACTATTGATAATTTCGCGCCAAACGTGGGAGCTTTTGGACTAGATGAAATACTTATGATACCAAATAAATACTACTACTACTACTTTATTTTATCAAGTCATATCCATCGGAAGGACCTGATAGTTTTTACCTCTTATGGAAGGCGCTACCCAAACGTTAGAAGTTTGAAAAAGGGTCGGGAATAAAAATCCAACTCGTACACAACCACTACGCCTTCGCTTTCTTAAGTTTAAATTCAAAATCTCTCAGTAGATGTCAATATCTCTCGAATAAAATTACCAATTACCAAACAGTTAACCAATAAATAAAATTACAGCAAACACTTGAAAAACTAGAACATAAAAATTTGTATTAGTGTATGAAATTTGATCAGGATATCTTGAATGGTGATGCAGTTCAATTGCTTACATCAATATGTATCAGCATATGAAGTTAATGATGACATTAATTTAGGACAAGAGGTCCATGTGCCACATCGCTCACCTGAGCACACTGGCTAGGAAATAAAAGCAGAAATCACTTCAGTATTGAGAAATTTACAAGGGGGTGGGGGGGTCTGGAATTTTAAACTACCAACTACCTGATGATGCTTCCATACAACAAATGCCTTTGCTGTTTTTGATCAGATTTTTTTCCTATATATTCATTTGCCCCCCCCCCCCCCCAACATTGTGGCCCAGCCCTACCCCTAGGAGCCCTCATTTGAACTAGTATGACTTTGTACTACCTGAGGATGCCTTCATATCAATATGATTAAACATGGCTTTTCTGTAGTTGGGAAAAAAATTTCCTTGATATTTCTGGGCAAAACCTTGATCCCCAATCGTGGCCCACCCTACCCAACCCCTATATCCCGTTGACTTGAACAAACTTGAATCAACATATGTGAGGATGCTTACATAAAGATATGACCAATCATGGCTTTGTGGTTCTTAAAAAGAAGAGTTTTAATAAAAATTTCCGATGTATTCATTTCTAAGGAAAACTTAAATCGTCCATTGTGGCCCTGCATGATTAAAACAAACTTGAATCTACTGGTACACTACCTGAGGATGTTTTCACATAAATTTCATCTTTTCTGGCCCAGTGGTTCTTGAGAAGAAGAATTTTTCTATATATTCCTATGTAAATCTTTGATCGTCAGTTGTGGCCCCGCCCTACCCCCGACGGTCATAATTTGAACAAAATAGAATCTACACTACCTGAGGATGCTTCCACCTAAGTTTCATCTTCACTGGCACAGAAGATTGAAAAAGATTTTTCCAGTATATTCCTATGTAAAATTTTGATTGTCAGTTGTGGCCCCGCCCTATCCCCGGGGGTCATGATTTGAACAAAATTGAATCTACACTACCTGAGGATGCTTCCATATAAGTTTCATTTTTACTGGCCCAGAGGTTCTGGAGAAGAAGATTTAAAAAAAAATCCTATATATTCCTATGTTAAACTTTGATCAGCCCCTGTGGCCTCTCCCTACCCCCGGGGGTCATGATTTGTACAAACTTGAATACAAACTTGAATCTACACTACCTGAGGATACTTCAACATGAGTTTCATCTTTCCTGGCCAGTGGTTCTTTCTTAAGATTTTTCCTATATATTTCCATGTAAAATTTTGATCGGCCATTGTGGCCCCGCGAGTCATGATTTGAACAAATTTGAATCTACACTACCTGAGGGTGCTTCCATATGACTTTCATCTTTCCTAGCACAGTGGTTCTTGACAAGAAGATTTTTAAAGATTTTTCCTATGTATTCCTATTTTAAACTTTGATGCCCCATTGTGGCCCCATCCTTCCCTCGGGGGGTCATGATTTGAACAAACTTGAATGTATACTACAGGAGGATGCTTCCACATGAGTTTCATCTTTCCTGGCCCAGTGGTTCTTGAGAAGAAGATTTTTAAAATATGCCATTAATTTTTTACTAATTCATAATTATCTCCCCTTGGAAGAGGGCTTGGTCCTTCATTTGAAGGAACTTGAATCCCTCTCTACCCGAGGATACTTTGTGGCAAGTTTGGTTGAAATTGGCCAAGTGGTTCTTGAGAAGATGAAAATGTGAAAAGTTTACATAGACAACGACGACAGACAACGGACAAAGCCCTCGGCTCGGGTAAGCTAAAATTATTTAAAATTCTTAAACTTTTGCTGAATTTAAGCAGAAACACTTTATAAGAGATACTGTAGAAGCACAAAATTTCGTGGGCATAAAATTTCGTTGTTTTGTCACCAAAAATAGTAATTTACAGGAGGCTCATGGGCCACATCGCTCACCTGAGTACAATTGCTAGGGAAAAGAGCAAAAATCAGTTTTGCAGTTTACCTGGACAGGGGGGCTTGAATTTGAAACTACCTGATGATGCTTCCATATCAATATAATAAATGACTTTTCTGTTCTTGAGCAGATTTTTTTCCTATTATTCATTTGAAAAAAAATTGACCCCCCCCCCTTGTGGCCCAGTCCTACCCCCAAGGGCCCTCATTTTAACCAATATGATTTTACACTACCTGAGGATGCTTCCATATCAATATGGTTAATTATCGCTTTTCTGTTCTTAAGAAAAAAAAATTTCCCTCTCTATCCCTATGCCCAACTTTGATACCTCCCACTGTCACACTACCTGAGGATGCTTGCATTAAGATATGTCCAATCATGGTTTTGCTGTTCTTAGAAAGAAGACTTTAAAAGAATTTTCCTATGTATTATGTTAAACTTTGATCACCCATTGTTGCCCGACCCTACCCAGGGGTCATGATTTGAACAAATTTGAATCTACTCAACCTGAGGATGCATCCGTATAAATTTGTGTAATCCTCCCTGCCAATCCGAAAATCCCAAATGTATTGTAGTATTCGGTGGTTAGATTTGGCGGTGTAATTTCCATGCAGGGCACCGCTTAGTAGGTCAGATGTATTCCAGAAAGAAGACTTTTAAGGAATTCACTATATATTCCTATGTAAAACTTAAATCGTCCATTGTGGTCCCATCCCATCCCAGCGGTCATGCTTTAAACAAATTTGAATCTACACAACCTGAGGATGCTTCCATATAAAATATGATCAATCAGGGCTTTGCTGTTCTTAAGAAGAAGATTTTAAATGATATTTCCCTATATATTTATATTAATCCTTTGAGAAAATTGGTTGAAAAGTTGGTTGAAATTGGCCTAGTAGTTATCAAAAATGTGAAAAGTTTACAGATTAGATATACAGACGGAGGCTAGACAAAATGTAATCAGAAAAGTTCACTTTAACCTTTGGCTCCGGTGAGCTAAAAAGATATTTCGGAACCAGCATAAAACATTTCACTGAAAAAAAAAACAGCTCTGTGTGCAACCAGCATGGAAAAAGGGATTCTAACTTTACAATATTTTATACATTTCAAAAGGGAAAAATTGATCATTTTCTTCTAAACAACAGGCCCATGGGCCACATCGCTCACCTGAGTAATTTGGAGATGCCGTTTTCTTTTTTACCAGAATTCTCTCCTTGTAATACCTATTGTGGCCATATCCTCCCCCCTCACCGAGTCATGATTTTAACAATTTAGAATCAACACTGCCCCAGGATGCTTCCACTTAAGTTTCAGCATTTATGGCCCAGTGGTTCTTGAGAAGAAGATTTCTAAAGTGATTCTGCTTTGTTAACTAGCATACTGTATTTACCATATGTGTTTGACCTCGAAACACTTTACTTTCAATGTAAATGAATTAAATAAACATTTATCACAAAAATGAATTCCATTAATTGCATAAAAAGGAATCATCAGAAACTTAATTTTGTAAATAACAAACTGACATTTTCAAGGAAAAAATTTACTTGAATAAAGGATGACTGCACTTAACATTGTGTCTGGGGTCTTTTTCGGTTGCTTCTGTTGCTTTTGAATCTTGACCCAAGTTCAATTTTATATATTTATTACAGAAGTCTGTCAGTCAATTTGGCACACAATTTAAATGTTTAAAAATGATTTTAGACTATAATGTAATGACTAATTTCACGTTTTTGTCCTTACGGCTTTCCAAATACAGATCATTCACACTTACCTGCCTTTGATTGAACATTATGTATGCATGAAAGGCGGAGCTAACATATAAGAATGGAACTAAAATTCGACTGGATGAATAACAATGACTTGTATTAAAAAATACGAAATCTGTATTTTTCATCTTCCTATTATTATGTATGGTACAAGTACATTAATTACAAAGACTTTAAGAGTATTAGACCATCCATGTAATTAAAGAATGTTTTAAATCGGTGACTTACTATCTAACGTGTTCGAGTACAGTGTCCTAGTTAGCACAAAACTTGCTAACAATAAGTCACATGACGGAATTTTGTATTCACAAAACTACCTGAGGAAAGATATCACGTGGTGAATTATAATATTTAATGTGTCACAGCCCTTGGTTACAACAGAGAGACCGAGTGCAAGAAGAAGCAGTATTTTTTTCTCTTTTAAACAATGAGCGCATGTTTGTCTATTATTCTCCTTTTTACACAACATTACTAACGCAAATATACAACTACTGTGCAAAGGGGAACAATAGACAAACTTGCGCTGACTATGTATAACGTCAGTAAAAAAAGTGGGCGTCCTCATTATCGTACGGAGATTGAAGAAATTGTGTTGATCCCCGCCTTAGTAAACAGATTTGTACACCGTAAATACATACTTCTAATTATTGTAATTAAGTAAAGTTGTAGATTAGATGTTGATCATTTCTGCAATTAAAAGAAAAATGTCTGTTTTTAAAGTTTATTATGACGCAAATTTCCCAAATCTTTAAAGGCAGTCATCCTTTATATATTTTGACCTCAAGACACATTACTTTCAAAATGTATAGTAAACAATAACTACTAAGAATTTCTTTGGTTTAATAAAAAGTGAAGATTGGTATTACTTAGTTTCTAGGAACGACAAAGGAATTTTTTCCCGAAAAATATTTTCCATTTTATGAAGACAGTCAACAATTAACTGATATACACCTATAATTTTTTTTTGCTGTTCTGAGTAGTTCTTGGCTTCGTAGACATATGCACAAAAGAATATACTTTATTATTATGAAAATATAAAAACACTTTAATGCTTATTCTAAAGGATAGAAGGATCGGTCTATCAGCTCTTGTTTTCACCTTTTTTTTTTTAGCTAAAACGTTTTCTTGAACGATTAACTCTTTTTTAAAACTGTTCAGTTCTGTGGAATTTCAAACATTATTAAATTATCTCGCTTGTGATTAGCAGCATTTCATTGATTGGCATTAAAAATGGCTTGTCCTTAACCACATTAATTTAGTCTTCCTACAATCATTTGGAAAACCGATTGACACTAATTGTGCTCCCAATATTTAAGCCATTATATTTTATATTCCTTTGGAGTAATTTTTATTCCAAAACGTCTACATGGAAAGACAACACTTGCTTGCTTTTGCATTCAGAAATAAAGTCGACTCTTAATCAGTTAACAGTAGTTAACTTCCATCCCTATATCCTAATGATTTCAAAACACAAAACATCGGAGAATCCTCCAAACAAAATGAATCAGTATCAGGGACAAAAGACGGACCTATGAGAAAACCAGGTTGGATCAGGTGCCTAAGGGGAGTAAGTATCTCCTATCGATTGGTCAAATGTGTTTTGAACCCTTTTATTGATCAGTAAACGAGTACTCAATACTTAAATAACATACAAGAGGCCGATGGGCCACATCGCTCACCTGCGTAGCTTTGATCATGATGTTCTTTACCAGATTTCCCCATAGTAATACATATTGGAACCCCACCCTACCCCACGAGTGATAATTTGGACAGTTTAAAATCAACACTACCCCAGGATGTTTTCGCATAAGTTTCAGCTTTTCTGGCCCATTGGTTCTTTAAAGATTTTTTCCTATTTATTTTATGTAAAACTGTGTTTCCCTATTGAGGCCTTACCCTATCCCCGGGGTCATGATTTGATTAATTTAGAATCTTCAATACCCCAGCATGCTTCCACATAAATTTCAGATTTCCTGGCCCAGTGGTTCTTGAGAAGAAGACTTTTAAAGATTTTTCCTATATATTTCTACGTAAAACTTTGATTCCCTATTGTGGCCCTGCCCTACCCCCGGTGATCATGGTTTTTATAATTCAGAATCTACCCTACCCCGGGATGCTTGCACATAAGTTTCAGATTTCCTGGCCCAGTGGTTCTTGAGAAGAAGATTATAAAAGATTTTTCATATATATTTCTATGTAAAACTTTAATTCCCTATTGTGGCCCAGCTCAACCCCCGGGGGTCATGATTTCAACAATTCAGAATCTACAATACCCCGGGATGCTTGCATATAAGTTTCAGCTTTCCTGGCCAAGTGGTTCTTGAGAAGATTCATTAATGATCCCAATCTTGATTATTTCCCCTTGTGAAGGGACTTGGCCCTTCATTTTATTTATTTATACTCCCCTTTACCCAAGGATGCTTTGTACCAAGTTTGGTTAAAAATGACCAAGTGGTTCTTGAGAAGAAGTCGAAAATGTGAAAAGTTTACAGACGGATGGACGGACAGACAGACAGCTAGACAGACGGACGTTCTTGAGAAGAAGTCGAAAATGTGAAAAGTTTACAGACGGATGGACGGACAGACAGACAGCTAGACAGACGGACGGACAAAATATGATCAGAAAAGATCACTTGAGCTCAGGTTAGCTAATGAAAGCAAATATTTTTTGCAAATTTTATGTACAGCCTGATAAAACGCGAAAAAACGTGTTAACAGTCAGGATCCTTATGATGACCCAATTTTTTCAAAAAAGATTGATTTTAACAAGGCTGATGAATTTAGATAGAAGGAAGCCACCAGGATTTGCACTCTTGTCTCTACAACCCTTTCTTTCATCATTTTTAGAAAGTATAGGTACATGTACGAGGGCTGTTCAATAAATAATATCCTCGGTGCTCAGAAAGAAGCAAAAGACGCTTTTCAATGATTTAGTCTTCATGATTTTACTTATTAATCTCTTTTTATTAAAACACATGTCCGTAACATTTTTTTATCCAATTTCTGATTGTTTTTAGAATTCATTTTTGGGTATGACCCTTAGTATACTGGAAAATGACAGATCCAATGATTTCCTGGACTTGTTTTTTCCCTTCTGAAAGCTGTTTTTTCAAGTTTGGAAACAGAAACAAGTCAAAAGGTCAAAGATCTGGCAAATATTGTTAATGTGAAAAAAACATTAACTTTCTGTTTATCCCGAAAACCCCTTTACTCTTCAGGGCATGTGGGTTTAGACGCTGTCGTGATGAAATTCAATGTAGTGGATTCCTGATTCTGGGTCCTTCCTCTAATAAACTTTTTGATTTTTTTTTGCAAAAAAATTGCTTTCTAGACTCCTCCAGATATTAAACTGTCTCCCCGAATACGAATTTGAACAACAATACCACCAATATTTAAGAAAATTTCATATTAATCTGTCTTTGTGTTTTTGCATACCTTTGCTCTTGTCAGCCTTCGCCGTTTTTATCAAGTACATCTTAAGGTAAATTTTGTTTTGATGATTTTAAGCAATAGATTCATGTTCCAATATCTGTTTGAATATAAAACAACCGTAGATAACTACAATTACTGATATTTTAAAATAATTGTTAAGACTTTCGTACACGCTGTAGTTTTCACTCATTTTTCAAAATATAGGGTGACCTTTGAGTACCAAGCTGTTTTACCGTCAAACGTTTCTTTAAAACAGTGTAAACTACTCCCGAAATGATGTCTATCAAATTTGCTATGTGTCTTAAATCCAATCATACATCATCAGTGATTATTTGTTGAAATTTGGCAAACAGTACATAAGTTTTTATAATTTTTGTTTGCAAGGAGGGTACCCATCTTTGATGCCCATTATATAATTCTTTATCATTGAAATCCACCTGCTCATTTGTCTATAAAACAGGCATCGGTTGCTGTAAATATCATATATTTCAGTGAATATTTCTTTGGGCTTTTTAACAAGTTTTACAGCAGCTTTAATGTAGCTTTTATTTTCATTCAAGTTTACTGACTTTTACCATTCATTTATAATGCAGTGTCTCGAATAGCCCTTGTTTTCCAGCTTCTCACGATGAAACTATGTGATGAAAAGTGGTCACATAAACTGTTATAAATTTAGTAAAGATTCAGTAATGAGAGAAAGTCAAGTTTAATGTCATATGATATCTGTATTGTATGACATACAGTTCAGGACATTATTTATTGAACAGCCCTCGTACTTCAATTTACAAGTACATGTACTCAGGTAATTCATACCTTTTAAATCCATCCCCTCCAGTATGTTGAGCGCTATCAGCGTTGTTATACCCTGACCATTTGGGGGTACCTCCCAAACTTTATAACCTTTGTAGTCAGTACTTATGGGTTCCTCAAAGGTGGTCACGTGACTTGCGAGATCTTCTGTTGTCATGACACCACCATGGTATTGTACTACATCAGTTATCGCTTTAGCTATTCTCCCACAGTAAAATCCTGCTTTCCCTTGAGTGCCAAGTTCCTGAAGGATTAGACAGAAATATTCAAAATATCAACATCACATCCAGTGGCTGTCATACGGTACCTTTAAGTTCAATATAGATAATACTTTTTCAAGCAAAGTATTCAAAAAATTTGAATACACAAGCCTTCATCTCTTTTTTGTTTCAGACTACGGATGAGGATGTATATTAGATTATCTTACATACGTCCCTTGATTGTATTTGCCGGCTTTGGAACAATATAGTTATTAAACTAATATGAATATCACAGTAAATATACCATTCCAGTACAAATTATAATTGTGAAATTGTGAATGTAGATTCAAACGCTGGAATTGGTGTGCCTTAAATGTGTGTTGTATAAGGATCGAAAAATATAAACAACGTTTTTATCATGATCACATGTATGTCTTCTCTAGTTAACCTCAACTTTTGATATTTCGATATTGCTCATTAGCAACTTAATAAAATAAAGTACTTAATTCAACTATACAAGCATTAAAATATTGAATTTACCTTTGTTCTCAAATTTAAATTTGAAGTCCTTGTAAAAATACGTAATTTATTCAAATATATATACTTAATCTGTAATAAAGAAACCGTGCTTTGTTAAGAAGAGGGGCAAGTCAGATTAGGAAATACCAATGACTAAAAAGTGAAAAAATATATACATGTATGTGTAAAAATATTACTTTTTTGTAAAATACAAACAAAGTGTAAGGACCATTATATCCTTAGAATAAACTTTTATGATAAAACACTTGTGTCTTTCCGACAAGTATTTTAATCCCATTTTTTCAAAGGTCATATCACAAATTGATAAATTAATTGATTATTAAACGTCGCTGTCCTTTTTAGTTGTGTAGTATGGTTGTCAGGATCCAGGGTTTATTTCGTGTTCAACAATATAAAGAATTGCGCACGCCTAGAAGGAGGGTGTGAAGCATATAATTTGTCTTGAACCAAAAATATTTTTTCTATAAATTACCTTTTTAGGTTCTGATCTAAGCAATTTCTGAAACCTGGTTTTTTTTTTCAAGATTCAAACAACTTGTTTGGTTCTATTCTTATCAACTTTCACTTTTTGCGTCATTGTCTTTAAATCTAATTAATCAGAAGAAGTTGGCAAACAGAATTAGTTCATGTACAGATGATCAAGAGGTTAAACAGCCTTATCTCCTCACATGTCGATCTCCCCTTGTTAAAAAATAAGCTAAACGTGCCCCAAAGGTTTATGTACTTTGTTTCAATCGACTTATGACATAAAATGTTATTTTAAATTAACACTTTAAAGAGGATTTTCATCAAAGATGTCGTTTAAGTTACCCTTTACTCTAAGTAGGAGGTGTGCAACAATTATTTTAATTTGTTAATCTTTCTTACATTGTAGACACTAACATCACTTAATATCAATTAAAATGAACATGCTACTAAGTGTAATTGGCAGCCATTATCTGATCAGACACGTAGTATTGCCTTTGAATCTATCACCTGCGCTACTCAGATGCCCTAAAATGGCATGTGAAATAAAGTTTTCAGCAAAGAAAAGGAGCGTACCATGTTTATGTAGTAGTAGAAGAAACTAGAACATAACGCATATAATTTTCAAGACACAGACCGTTACTCTTGTTATGTAATCCCTCTGCCGATACTCAATATACTGCAACCAATAAAACCTCTAATTTTAAACCATGTGATTCTCAAACGTCTACCTACATGTAACCCCTTCCAGTTAAATAAGCATAAAGTATGTTTTATTTTTGTGTGATTATTTAATGTTTAATGATTTATCTCAAGGTAATTATTTAAGGAGGGATTCTTTTAAAATTTATAAAAAAAAAAACTTTAAAGGGGCATGGACACAGTTTCAGCTAAAATTTCAAAATTTATATTTCCATTTTTACAAATATCTTACTAGGGTCTTTCTAATGATCATCAAAAATTTGAACGTCAGTTGTCCAGATACAAGACAGATTCAGAGCTCCAAACCTTTGTTATGTAAACAAGGTGTGTGTCATGTTTTTGTTTACACAGGTTAATATACTAATATATGTTCGTTCAAAGTAGAAAATTTCAAATAAAAGATAATTTTAAATATGATTCGACAGTTACTATTGATTTGCTGAATTTCATTAAATATGATATATATGAAAAATGATATGATAAATATGATATTTTCTATATGTAAACAAAAACAAGGCACGAGCCTTGTTTACATTATGAAGAACTTTAAGTTCTGTATCTTGTTTGTTAATCAATAAATTATGTTCAAAATTTTGCTAGTCAATAGATGATGCCTTAGGTAGGAATTGTAAACATTACCACTGGTTTAAAAATTTAGTTGAAACTGTGTCCATGCCCCTTTAATTCACAACTAATAATTTGAGTTCATAAGATTTGTTTAACGTCTTTCACTTTTTCAAAATTTTAAGCTTAATTCATTGTGAGAATCAGAAAGAGCTATTTTCATACACCACCACTCCGCCGAAAATGTAGTCCCTGCTAGACTTCAAACTCAGTTCGCCAATACTGTTTTAAGATGTATCCTTATGAGGAGTAAAGAAAAACATTATAGTTTGAACCCCTTGCATCTTATGTAAAATACTTTTCAAGAAATATACTTTGAATATTTAAAATTTCATCTAGTCAGAAACAAGACAAAAATCCCTCGATTTCGATTAATTAAGATTGATCTCGTTGCTTTTGCTTCATGTTTCCTGGATGAATTGAGAAAAAGAAAGACACGATTTAAATGATACATTATGAAATAATAATTAAATCTATCATTTTTTATGCACTTTAAAATGAATCTTTCCTTAATGGTAGACACTAACATAACTTAATATAAATTAAAATGAAGATGATAACAAATTGGCAGCTATATATCTGACCATTAGTATTGCTTTTGAATCTATCACCAGAGCTACTCAGATGCATTAAAAATGAAATGTAGTAGATAGGTGTTCAGCAGGGCAACAGTTTCATGCGTATATATAACATTACTAAGTAGTAAAAGATACTAGAACATAATGCATATAATTTCCAAGGTACACTTTTTACTTTTTTTTGCTCAATTCTGTTTTACTGAAGTTTTCAAAAAAAGCCAAGAAGATATCATTTTTTTGGAAAATAATATCTATTTCATAAATGTTAAAACTTAAAACCATTACTTATAATTTGAATTACATAAAAAAGTTTTTAGAAGTCTTTGATTGTTTGGACTTTTTTAACTTTACTTGTGAAAATCAGAAAAAGAGCTATTTTTATACCACCATTCCGCCAAAAATACAGCCCCTGCTAGACTTCAAACTCAGTTCACCATTTGTGTTTTAAGTTGTACGCTTTTGATGAGTAAAGAAAAACATAATCTTTTAAATCCCTTAAATCTTAATATAAAAGATATTAATTTTATGCAAATGTACTTTGAAAATATATTTCATCTAGTCAGAAACAAGACAAGAATCCCTCTTTCAATCTCTCTCGAATAATTAAGATATGATCTAGGTGCGCTTCAGTACTTTTATTCTTGTTTCCTGGACGTATTGAGAACAAAAACCCAGTTTAATTGATAAATTAAGAAATTATTCAATTAATAAATATAGCCATAATTTTATAGCACTTTGAAATCAAATTATTTAATTAAAAGATAACAAAATAATTTAATTTTGTTTCTATTCTAGTCTCTCATTGGTTGATTTCCAAAAAGGAATGCAAATTATTTCTTAATAACCTGGTTTGGTATGAGGACACACCCCCTTGACAACCAGCTGAATCATCTGTATCCATACAATCCCCTCATTTCCAGTCATTTGGGTTCATGGGAAATTCCAGATTTAATAAATCACCGTATACAATGGGTAACGCGGGGGAGTCGCTAAAAAGTATGGGGGAGTCGTTTTCAACGTATGGGGGAGTAGATTTTCACCGCTTCGGAGTCAGAGGAGATGTGGGTCACGTCTTTTTTCGGTATATATATGATGTATTTACAAAAAACAAATATCCCACGGAAGATGGCAATAGTTAAGCTTTATCGTGGTCATTTGTCCGGCTATCATATACGTCTAGTTTTCTCAAACACTTCGAAACTATTTGACAGTTTTCATATTTACTTTGATCGGGTAGTAAAAACATGCATGATTTGCACAATCTACGGCTTGCGTAGGGATTCTCATACCTAAAACAGCGAGAGAAAACGTTTATCTTTTAAATGCAACAACTTAAACTTGACTAGACTTTATAAAAATTAATCATTAAGACATTTTCTCTTCAGACAGTAACGGTTACGTAGGGGGGAGTCGTTTATGGGAAAGCACATCGCAGGGGGAGTCGCAAAATAAAGTCAAATGCATATACTTGGTGTTGTTTTCATCTCTTTTATACTGCCAATACCTTTTTATTTATTCGTACATATCTATAAATCTATGTTTGGTTATTTACTTAATAATCTGAAGTTACGAAAAGAGATTTTTTCTGTGGCTTGGCTTTATCAGTTCCAGAAAACAATCAGCAATTTAGATTACATGAACAATTGGATTATATATAATCGGAGCACGTGTGCTTGCGGACAGGACCCTCCCCCTCAGTATGTAATGTTCGTACATGTTTATCACAAAAATTCAATTCACGAATTCACGAACCCTCACTTCCAATATGAAAGCCTCTCAATAAAAAAAAATCAACCAGATTTATTATATGGAAAATTTCTAGATAATATCAACCATTTTTTTTTAATAAGAAAAAGGCAGATCTCTGACGCGTCTTCACGCCTCTTGACGTTTTCTTTGGAAAGGGGGTTAAATTTAACTGGTATATTCTCACGATTAGGTTCACAATTTATTATTTATTTATCATATACTCAGTATAGTAACACATCTTCAGGCACAAACGAATTAGTATGTTAATTGAGAATATTTTGGATAATCTGAGGTTAATACACATAGGTAAATGTACAGAATGAATGCTGAAGAAGGGACTGGATTGCACATTACCTAAAGCGCTGAAAATGTATGTCTATGATAAATAAAATGAGAAGTGTCAATGTAAAAATAATTAACCACAAACTTTGAAAAGAAGAAATACGAAAATATTTCTTCAATATATACATTTCATTATCATGATACCCTCCCTTATCTTGCCCCAGCTATGTACAGTTCCTCAGAACATGTTACCCCCTTTACCCCTCCCCCTTTCGCAGTTTCGTGAACACAGCATGGCGGGTTGTTGTACCAGAATCAGTCTGAGGCAACCAGCATTATACATTCATAGACTGGGTTCGAGGGCAACATGCGTTTTGTCGGACCCAAGAACCAAACTGTTAGCACGAGACGATTAGGCCGAAGGCAAATAGTTTTGTTCAAGGGGTCGACAAAACACGTTTTGCCAGATCTAGAGAACACATTCGATAAATGTTTTGTTATACATTTTACTCTTTATTATGATATTATCATGACGAAATTTTTGTTAACCCTCACTGCATTGAAAAACTGTCAATTCCGTAAGGTTCTGATAGCTGACCCCGCCCACACTTTGACGTAAATGGTGCAATATCTCATCGAAAGGTCCAACATCTCGCTCCACGGTCAAACAGCTATTTATTTGACTATTTGACTTATGAAAACAGTAGAAAGGTTATTCTTTTAAGTGTAAATTTATGTAACAATTTTTAAAAGTATAACAAACAAAAATTACAAACAACTCACCTGAAAAATTTTGACAAGCAAACAAATGGGTTGGTGAAAGGAGGTTACAACAGTTTGACAACCGAATTGTATTTACACATTAGCAAATAATAGTTACTATAATTTAAGTATTCTACAACAACAATAATAAAAAATGTTTGATATTATTAAGAAATTTTCCAAATTATTAATCGGGTTGTTCTTTTTTTTATGGAGAGGCTTTCATATTGGAAGTGAGGGTTCGTGAATTCGTGAATTGAATTTTTGTGATATACATGTACGCACATTACTTACTGAGGGGGAGGGTCCTGTCCCCAAGCACATGTGCTCCAGGGACGTAGCAATCGGGGGGGGGGGGGGGGGGGCAGGGGGGCTTGCCCCCCCCCCACTTTTTTTCCCAACATAACCTTTACTATAGTAAATGTTCATTGATAGGATGGTTGGCCCCCCACTTTATAACCATAGTATAGTGATATCAAGGATTGTACGAAAAAAATTGGAAGTGATAGTTAGTTGGCTTTGAAAAAGTTGGCCACTACCCCCCCCACCCCACCCCACCCCCCACCCCCACCCCCCGAAATAGGATTTTCGAGCTTGGGAAATTTTTAATTTTTGGTTTTTTTTTTTTTTTTTTTGTATGTCAACTTTTTCAGGTAAGTAAAAAAAAATTTCTCTGGTTGCCCCCCCCCCCCCCCCCACTTTCAAAAACGATGCTACGTGCCTGTGCTCCGATGATATATTATCCAATTGTTCATGTAATCTAAATTGCTGATTGTTTTCTGGAACTGATAAAGCCACAGAAAAAATCTCTTTTCGTAACTTCAGATTAAATAACCAAACATAGATTTATAGATATCTACGAGTAAATAAAAAGGTATTGGCAGTATAAAAGAGATGAAAACAACACCAAGTATATGCATTTGACTTTATTTTGCGACTCCCCCTGCGATGTGCTTTCCCATAAACGACTCCCCCCTACGTAACCGTTACTGTCTGAAGAGAAAATGTCTTAATGATTAATTTTTATAAAGTCTAGTCAAGTTTAAGTTGTTGCATTTAAAAGATAAACGTTTTCTCTCGCTGTTTTAGGTATGAGAATCCCTACGCAAGCCGTAGATTGTGCAAATCATGCATGTTTTTACTACCCGATCAAAGTAAATATGAAAACTGTCAAATAGTTTCGAAGTGTTTGAGAAAACTAGACTATATGATAGCCGGACAAATGACCACGATAAAGCTTAACTATTGCCATCTTCCGTGGGATATTTGTTTTTTGTAAATACATCATATATATACCGAAAAAAGACGTGACCCACATCTCTTCTGACTCCAAAGCGGTGAAAATCTACTCCCCCATACGTTGAAAACGACTCCCCCATACTTTTTAGCGACTCCCCCGCGTTACCCGTTGTATACGGTGTAAATGTACCTTTAACTTCAAACAGTAGCTCGATCTTACCTCGTGTAAACAAACATCATGGCTGCTAGATCTGTGTATCAGTTATTACCTCCCCTTGTTTCATATCACTTCCGTTACTAGGGATGTATTATTGAGCGGCAAATTTGAACTCATAAAAAGCAACACAATTTTACACCCACAGTTGTTTAATTATTTTAAAATTAAATTATAAGGAATGACTCTAATTCTTGGCCAAATTATTCGATTATAACCTGGTTTGGGTCAGTTTACGCTTTTTTACAATCCGCTTCGCGGTTATAATCGAATAATTTGGCCAAGAATTAGAGTCATTCCTTAAATATTGTCAAATATAGAAGGCAATTTATTTGACATTTATCAAATGTCAAGAAACTTCCATTTATATTTTCTTCTAAGAAAACAAAATAATAAGTTACAGTCTACCTCTTTTAAGCTGCAATAAACATACACACCCTGATGTGATGAAGAACAATGGTTTACGTCACATGCTCCATGTTTTTTTCTAAATCAGCATGAAAACAACAATGCTTATTCTTTCTATCTCTGAATTTTACAAATTCAATTTTTCTTCTTTACTTAGGTCTCTTCAGAATTTTTTCCACATGTTTAGATACAACCTATTGTTAATTGTGCAGTGGGGGTCTGAGACCGATTTTTTTTTCCTTCATTGGGACACTCAGTCAATTTCTGAGGACTTGTCTACAGGGACTGTAATTAGATTTTCGTGCTCCTATACCACTACGCAAAATACGGTATAGGACACACATAATAATAATAATCAAGAGAATATTGCAGGTATAACACTCAATAACAAAAAACAAAGGACCTATTGCGTATCGCAAATATCTCGAAATACACTTTATACATCTTAATTTATAATTAAATAGGGAAAAGTACTAACTTTACTTCAAATCATCAAGATTTATTTACAACTGGTCATTTTTCAGCTCGAAAAACAAATAGATACACTGTACAATATAATACATGTAGCTGAAGGACAAGCTTAAATATTCATATCGACTGGATTTTTTTTTCAGCATATCTATGCTGTAATGAATTTATTTCTATTTTATTAAACGTCTTAATACCGGTATAAAATATATCAATTTAAAATATTTAATTAAAATATTTTAAGTTAATAATACTTAAAAATTAAAAAAAATTGCATAATTAAATAAATTGATTTTATCAAAATTGGGCTATCAACTGTCACCATTTTCAGGAATTATGAAATCAAGTTTGCATTTGTTCTACGCAACATAGATCATGTAGACCAAACCAAGGGTCATGTGTTTCAACGAATAGATGTGTTATAAAGAACACATTGGTTGTCTTTTCAACTTAAGTTATCTAATTTTTTTTTTTTGCTTTGAGATAAGAAGAGGGAAAAAGTGCTTCTTATAGGGGTTGTCTAGCGCAATGTAAAGCGTGTTAATCTCAAAGGAAAGTGATTATAAGGATTTCTATTGCTAGGGTTCAAATCTTTAGCATTCCACAGTATCTTTTAATAACAGAATAATTTTGCAAAAAAAACAAACAACAAAAAAATCATAAATTGTAAAAATAAATAGTGAATTGATATTATATTCTTATCAATTCACTATTTATTATTTTTAGATTTATAATGAATATTATAAATACTGAATTGATGTCATTTTTCATTTTCAACGAAATACATCTGCCATTCTATCCCCCCTCTTGCCCCAGTGGCCAGAAGAAGTTCAAAATGTGAAAAATTTACGGATGGACAATGGGTGATCAGAAAAGCTCTCTTGAGCTTTCAGCTCAGGTGAGCTGAAAGGACAAAACATAGTCAAATTTGTCTGAATCAAAAATAAGGAACGTCTTGTCGGAAGGAATACATGTATACCTGTGAAATATAGACCTAGTACTAACTGCCCAAAAGTCAAGTTTGTTTTTAATTTGGTCGTACTCTGAGGACAATGTCAAAAAGATCTTGTCACAATGAATAATATGAAAAATGAGTTTTCTACGATCAACTTCCCTTATGTGGAGATAAAAATCACCTGCACACAGAGTTGATTCGACACACAAGAGATGAAACATATGGAGAAAACAAACAAAAAGCTCTAAAGTACATTTAAACAATACAAACCAGGAGCAGAGCAAATAAGGACATCGAAACAGAGTTGGGATCATATGCCATGGAGGAGCGAGCATCGCCTGCCGACCCGTCACACCGAACGTGTTCCTTATCATGATCTAGGAATAATGTAAAAATCCGTGGACAATGCTATCTTATTTTATATCAAATGTTGAAAAATGCCTTTCATACAAATTGACATGGATATTGAATTTTTCTGTTAACTCAATCATGACAAAGGGCACATTGCGGTGTGACTGTTCGACACTTTCTTTCTATATGGCACCTGATACCACATCTGATGTTCTTAGAACTCTTTTTAGAATTGTTTGCTTACAAAGTGAATTTTAATTTAATGTCATTTTATTAAATAGAATATTTAGATTTGATCAGCGTAAGTTTATTTTAAAAAATGAATTACAAACCCTAAATGTATTTGCAAGGTGGGGAAGTCTCATGATTTCTCCATGTTTTGGGGCTCGTCCATTAAGTAGCATATCAGTTCCATATTTGTTGTTAGGGTTTGTGAGTAAAAAGGATCCTGAAATTAGAACAATTAATTTACCATTTCAATTGGAATCAACAATTACCCCTTTAATATGAAAACACTAATGATTACATTAAGCCGTCAAATTCTTTCAGTGCTTAAATATGTATGGACATATATGGATTGCAGCTTAATAACAAGAGGCCCACGGGCCTTTTAGGTACCTGAGTATCATGTAACAACTTTCCAACAATTGAATTTGGTTTGTGTTTTAAACCCAAAGCCATGAAATTCACAATTTTGAAAGAGGCATCATTATTTATCATAACTGTACAATAAGCACGCTTACTTTGCTTACTTAATACCCAGAGGTAGATTAGTATTTTCAGATTATGTAACACCCCCCCCCCCCGTACCCCTAACCCAGGGGCCCTGAAATTAACCATTTTGGAAGAGGCACCTTTCTTCATCGTAGATATGTACCTAGATGATTGCATATTACCCAGGAAAAAAGGAAAAGAATTTCCGAAGAATTAATGCATTTTCACAATATAATCATTAGAGCCCCGCCCTAACACCACAACCCCTGACCCAGGGGCCATGAAATTCACAAATTGGGAAGAAGCATACCTTTCTCATCATAACTATGTGTATAGTTCATTGGTTTAATACCCAGAAGCAGAGGAGGAGATTTTTAAAGAATTTATGCATTTTCACTATATAATTAATAGAGCCCCACCCTAACACCACAACCCCTGACCCAGGGGCCATAGAATTCACAATTTTGGAAGAGACATTCTTGCTCATTATAACTATGTACTTAGTTTGTTTCTTTAATACCCAGGAGCAGAGAAGAAGATTTTCAAAGAATTAACGCATTTTCACTACATTATTATTAATCAATAGAGCCCCGCCCTATCACCAGAACCCCAGACCCAGGGGCCATGAAATTCACAATTTTGGATGAGGCAGTCTTATTCAACATAACTATGTACTTGGTTAGTTTACTTAATGCCAAGGAGCAGAGGAGAAGACATTCAAAGAAAAAATGCATTTTCACTATATAATCTATTTAGCCCCACCCTAATACTAGAACCCCTGACCCTGGGGCCATGAATTTCATAACTGTGGTAGAGGACGACTCAATGCTGATTACAATCATGCCAACAATTTGACTGCTTGATGTCCAGGAGTATAGAAGAAGATTTTTAAAGATTGCATTAATTTTAGTGGTTTTGGCCCCACCCCTAAGGCCCCAGGGGGGCAGGGACCATGAAATACAGAATTTTTGTTCCCCTTCACCAATAGATGCTTTGTGCCAAAATTGATTGAAATTGGTTGAGTGGTTGCAGAGAAGCTGAAAATGTTCAAATATTAATGCACGATGGACGACGCACGATGACGGACAAAAATGGATAGCAATAGGTCACCTGAGTTTACTCAGAAAAAATTCAAGTCCAAATTTTATGCCAGATGAAAAGTAATGTTTTAGATAGAAAGAGATAAAGTTTAACCACCTGACTTGACGCAAAAAATATAACTAAGGCAACATAGAACCTTTGTTCCAAAAGGAAGCCGTCAGCTGTTGTACTGGGAATCCGGTCTCTGCTAACTCTATGGCAGGATGGAGAATCTCCAGAATTGAAAGCTTAAAAAGAAATTTTAAAAAAGTCTTAAATTCGCGAATGTTCAAATCATGTCACCAAGAGTAGAGTTAGACTACAATAGATTACGTTTAACACAAGAATACCACCACCGACGAAAATAAAACTTTTCAAGAAAAGCAAATCGTAAATTGGTCATGTAAAAAAATTGAAACAGTCCAAGATTTTTTTGTTTGTTTCATGTTCCTTTCGAGAACTTTTCACTCGTATCAAGGCGCCATGAAAAATCTCACTTTGCGTTCTGTGACGTAAATGACACCACGGAGATTGCATTTCCGGCTTTTTGGAAAGCTCAACTTGTTACCATATTATTTTAATTAAGCTTTTTTTCTTAAGGTATTTCCACCCTCCTATGATATCATAGGGTTTTGCAAAAACTGTTATTAATTTAAAATCATACCCAATAGAACAAAGTTTTTTGAAAGAATGCTTTTGAATAGGTGTAATGATAAATATTAAGTAATAGAACTTAAAAAATGTATATTTTCATTCACATTTCAAAATTATCTTATAAGTAACAAGTATTTTGGAACTCTTAGCATCAAAATTATGCATTTGTACCAGTTTTTACATAATATTTACTATACTATTTTCAAAGAATTTATGATTTTTTATGTTAACATACACCTCTGTTTATTTATGTCTCCTGTCTTAAATAATATGGTGACCTATAATTTTTGCGATTATTGGTAAATTCAAACGATAATAAATGAAAATAAATGCAGTTTTTGTATTTGGAACCATTAAAATTGTGAGGGTGGGAACCTTAAAAGATTGATTGTTTATTGTTTAACGTCCCATTCTAGAATTAATCACATATATAGAGACATCACCCTATGCCGGTGAGGGCATATTTAGGCTATTGAGCAGTGAGGCTTCTTTATCAAGCCAACGATACAGTTACACGGGCCCTACATTTTTAAAGACCCGTGACTTTCACTTCTAATGCCGAGCGCTTGGCGAAGGAACAGTCATTACCTATGTTAAAGTTTTAGGTTGAACGTGGCTTAAAGATAAGCAAAATATTACAATTCTGACAAGAAATATATTAATTTTGTATATGTTGTTTAACGCTTTGGTAGCTTAAAAAAATTGTACAGGTAGATATGATCAGCCAACCCAATGAAATATATGAAGATAACGAACAGTATACAAGCTCAACTTTCTATTATACAATACAACAAGAGGCCCATAGGCCTTATAGGTCACCTGAGCATCATGCAACAACTTTCCAACGACTGAACTTGGTTCAATTTTTAAACTAAACAATTTTGAAAGAGGCACCATTACTTATCATAGCTATATACTCTGTTATGCTTATTTTTGTTACTTAATACCCATAGACAAAGTAGGGGAACCAAAAAATGCATTTCCACTAATCAGCAATATTCAGCAATAATCAGTAGAGCCACTACCACACACAACCCCTGACCCTTGGTCCACACATTTCACAATTTTGGAAGAGGCACCCTTGCTTATCATTAATGTTTGACTTATAACAAGGAGCTGATTTTAAACAATTAATTCATTTTCAGTATATAAGTAGAGCCCCCCCCCCCATGGTACCCCTGACCCAGGAGTCTTGAAATTCAAAATTCAGAAAGAATGGCCCTTGCTCATCATAGCTATATATATATATATATAGTTCATCTGCTTAATACCCAGGAGCAGAGTAGAAAATTTTCAAAGATTTAATGTATTTTCACTATAGAATTAATAGAGCCCCGCCCTAAGACCAGAACCCCTGACCCTGGGGCCGTAAAATTCACACTTTTGGAAGAGGCATTCTTCCTCATATTAACTATGAACTTAGTTTGTTTGTTTAATACCCAGGAACAGAGAAGAAGATTTTCAAAGAATTTATGCATTTTCTCCATAAAATCAATAGAGCCCCGCCCTGAGACCAGAACCCCTGACCCTGGGGCCATAAAATTCACAATTTTGGAAGAGGCATTCTTCTTCATCATAACTATGTACTTAGTTAGTTTATTTAATACCCAGGAGCAGAGAAGAAGATTTTTAAAGAAAAAATTGCATTTTCACTGTATAATCAATAGAGCCCCACTCCAACACCAGAACCCCTGACCCTGGGGCCATAAAATTCACAATTTTGGAAGAGGCAATCTTCTTCATCATAACTATATACTTAGTTAGTTTGTTTATTACCCAGGAACAGAGAAGAAGATTTTCAAAGAATTAATGTATTTTCACTATAAAATCATTCAATAGAGCCCCGCCCTAAGACCAGAACACCTGACCCTGGGGCCATAAAATTCACAATTTTGGAAGAGGCATTCTTCCTCATCATAACTATATACTTAGTTAGTTTGTTTATTACCCAGGAACAGAGAAGAAGATTTTCAAAGAATTTATGTATTTTCAATATAAAATCATTCAATAGAGGCCCGCCCTAAGACCAGAACCCCTGACCCTGGGGCCATAAAATTTATAATTTTGGAAGAGGCATTCTCCCTCATCATAGCTATATACTTAGTTAGTTTTTTAATACCCAGGAGCAGAGAAGATTTTCAAAGAATTAATGTATTTTCACTATATAATAAATAGAGCCCCACCCTAAGACCAGAACCCCTGACCCTGGGGCCGTAAAATTCACAATTTTGAAAGAGGCATTCTCGCTCATTATAGATATGTACTTAGTTTGTTTGTTTAATACCCAGGAGCAGAAAAGAAGATTTTCAAAGAATTAATGCATTTTCACTATATAATCAATAGAGCCCTGCCCTAACACCAGAACCCCTGACCCTGGGGCCATAAAATTCACAATTTTGGAAGAGTCATTCTTCCTCATCATAACTATGCACTTACTTATATAATTAGTTTATTTAATAACCAAGATATGTAAAGTTAGCTACTAGGAACTGGCTTCTATTAGCTGGCTACGACAAGTGGGTAAAGTTGGCTACTAGTAACTGGCTACGAGAAGTAAGTAAAGTTGGCTACTAGTAACTGGCTACTAGAAGCTGGCTACGACAAGTAAGTAAAGTTGGCTACTAGTAACTGGCTACTAGTAAATGACTTGAACCTTCTAGTACCTTTTGTGTAAAATTATGCAAACTTGGGATACAAACGTTGATATTCTTAAAGTAGCTGGATTTTTACACCGCTGATATCTACTGATATTGTTGATAAAAACAATCTCTGAGCTTTTCCACATGATCTGGCACTGAAGTTACCAAGATATCTGTAGTAATAAACTCAGCTACTAGTACCTTTTGTGTAAAATTATGCTATTTTGGGAGACAAATCTTGATATCCACTGAAATTGTTGATAAAAACAATCTCTGAGCTTTTCCACGTGATCTGGCACTGAAGTTACCAAGATATCTATAGTAATAAACTCAGCTACTAGTACCTTTTGTGTAAAATTATGCAACTTGGGATACAAATGTTGATATACTAGTAGCTGAGTTAATTATTAACGATATCTTGGTAACTTTAGTGTCATATCATGTGGAAAATCTCAAAGATTGTTTTATCAGCAATATCAGTTGATATCAGCGATGTAAAAATCCAGCTACTTCAAGAATATCAAGATTTGTCTCCCAAAATAGCATAATTTTACACAAAAGGTACCAGTAGCTGAGTTTATTACTAACGATATCTTGGTAACTTCAATGCCAGATCATGTGGAAAAGCTCAGAGATTGTTTTTATCAATAATATCAGTGGATATGAGTGGTGTAAAAATCCAGCTACTTCTGTCATATCAACATTTTGTTTCCTAAAATAGCATAATGTTAAACAAAAGGTACTAGTAGCTGAGTTTATTACCAACGATATCTTGGTAACTTTAGTGCCAGATCATGTGGAAAATCTGAGAGATTGTTTTTATCCGCAATATCAGTTGATATCAGCGATGTAAAAATCCAGCTACTTTAATAATATCAACATTTGCCCCCAAATTTCAGTGCCAGATCATGTGGAAAAGCTCAGAGATTGTTTTTATCATAACAATATCAGTGGATATCAGCAATGTAAAAATCAAGCTACTTCAAGAATATCAATATTTGTATCCCAAGGTTGCATATTTTTACACAAAAGGTACTAGAAGGTTCAAGTCATTTATTAGTAGCCAACTTTACTTGTCGTAGCAAGCTACTAGTAGCCAGTTACTACTAGCCAACTTTACTTACTTCTCGTAGCCAGCTACTAGTAGCCAGTTCCTAGTAGCCAACTTTACTTACTTCTTGTAGCCAGTTACTAGTACCCAACTTTACCCACTTGTCGTAGCCAGTTACTAGTAGCTAACATTACATATTTTAATAACCAGGAGCAGAGAAGAAGATTTTCAAAGAAATAATGCATTTTCACTATATAGTCAATAGAGCCCTGCCCTAGCGCTAGCTAGAAGCCCTGACCCTTGGGCCATGAATTTTAAAATTTTGGTAGAAGACTCAATGGTCATTACATTCATGCTAACAGTTTGACTGTTGACAAGTGTTAATTTTAAAATAGCTAGCTTCCTTTATTTTTAATACACCAAACACGACTTCGTGGTTTATTATAAGCTAACTGTAAGTGATAATTAACACTTAGATGATTTCTGTAAGTGATAATGAAAATATCATTCAATAAGTATATACTAATCTTTGTAATGTCAAATTAAATTTTCCATCATTCAACACAATTTACAATTTATTCTGAGTATTTCTAACCTTTCCACTTCCGAATTTCTCCACGGTATCTACCCAGGCTGCAGGGGCCCCTGGCACTGTCACAGAATGTCCATGTGTCTGGGCAGGAAAGGGCTGTGTTATGGAAAATCCCTGAGAGTGAAGTAGTTCCAGGGTCAGCTTAGAAGGGGCTCTACCACTGGAAAGGGAATAAGATTTAGTTATAAAAACTTCAAAATCTGATCATTCTCTAAATAAAAATAGTTATCAGAATAAAGAAATAATTAGAGCAAAGCTCCTTGCAAAGCAATGAGTAGGTCTTCCAACTGATATATATCGAAAGTACAGTATTAAGTTTTCGTAGTAATAATGATAAAATTTGTGCAGACGTTTGTAAAATTCACCAAAAATTCATATTCTAAACAACTTCTGGATTTTTCCGCCAATCAGTCTTTATTTCGGTATCATGTCACAAGTCACAAGGCCAGAAAATAACTTAAAACTCAATTTAACATGGTTTTATATAATATATTTTTTATGATTATGAAGAAAAACTTCAATTGTCAACTATTTCTGGTTTGTAATGAAATACTTCAAATTGTTACTTCTTGTTGTCGATTGTCCAAAGTGAACTTAAGTTCTATATGCCTTTTTTTCAAAACTGTTAATTTTTTTTTTTTTAAATCTTGTAATCAAATATCACTTCTGGTGTTGAGTGGAAGTGATGGATGTAAAATCAAAAGGTGATCATGATTCCATTTTGAGTAGTTTACATGAAAATTTGTGGAAAAATGACAACTTGGAAAATGAAAATTAGACATAAAATGCAACTGAAAGTGATTTTTCTTGAACATCTATATAAAAATGTCCATACATTGTATATGTAACTGAAAAATGTGTATTCAATAGTCTCCGTAACTGATTCCTTTTCAGCTTTTTATTTCAGATTCCTAATAATCTTATTAATTTACAACAACTGCAATTTATCTTCTTATTATGTGGGTGAATGGTTGCCCATGTGGAATGTCTACTCCAGAGTCAAGGTGTAAGGAGTTGATCCTTATGTTGTGGGTTTGAGGGTTGGAGGTGGAGGCTAGCCCTATGGCTATATAAAGTATGGCCCCATGTTGCAGTAGCTGTTGACACAAAAAAGATATCATTTCTCAATGGCCCTGAGTATCGAGTATAGGTCTAATTGTGCAGTCCTCCACTGGCAAGTGATGGTGTCTCCATATGACTGGACATAATTCTAAAGAGGGATGACAGAGAACAAAGAAACAAATACACGGGTGAATTGTGTATGAACAGACCGAGAACAAAAAGTAGGAAAAAATAGAGAAATGAGTGAATGGGTAGTAAAATCAAAGCAAATAATTAATCATAGATTTTAATAGGTCACCTCAATGAATATTGTCCATAAGGATGGCAAAGTTGCATACCAAACTAATAATCTAGTAGTGTGCACCCATAAATGCACATTTTAGGCAAAATTTGGTCTGATGGGGCTTTCAGTTTCTTCGGAATGGATATAAAACTAAGGCTGTTTATTAAGCAAAAATTTTTTATACAATTGGGTATTTATACCATAACTTGAAAAAATTATTGGAAGGGTATATAGTGATCGGGATGTCCTTCCGTCTGTACGTCCTTCCATCCCTCTGTTACACTTTGGGGTACCCATCTCTTATCCGCAACTCCTCTTATTCCACTGAATGAAATTTAATTAGACTTTCACAGAATCTTAATGTTAAATAGTGCTATTGTGACCTCCTATTTTACATCCTTTTGACTTACATTTATTTTGGGTTTCCCATAGCAAAAGATGGACACTGGTATTTTTTTCATAATATTGAAGGATATATACCCAACATCTCCTATTTCATGAATAAAATTCAATGATATTTTTCACAGATTCTTTATCACATAATGCCATTGTGCACCTCTTATTTCATTTTTTGGACTGACACTTATTTCAGGTCTCCCATAGCAAAACACGGACTTTGCCATTATAACCATATTATCATTTAGTGAGCTCAGTGCTCATAGTACCTTTATTTTATAATGTGATATGCAATATATTGGATTCTATAACATGTCTTTCATAAAAGTCTTATACATTTATTTAATGCAAGAATCTCATAAAAACAAACTCATTTTTCATCTATTTTAAAGTTCTTTTCTCATTTACCATAACAAATTTCACTTCAAATTCAAACTTTTAATGACTGTACAATCAAAATGTGAAAATAAAGTTGTCTCTGTATTTTTTATAAGTATATAAGATGCTCTATTTACAAAATCAGTTTTAATTCTAAACTGTTAAATATAATCTTTAGGGAATTAATTAAATTCTAATTTTTTTCACAGAATTACATGTATAAGAGAAACTACTTGCCTGATACATATTGGAAGTCACTTTTTTGATACGATGCATTCTTGAAAATCCATACATTTGGATATCAATTTATTGACACAGCCCTACTTAAAACTTAGTCACTCATCCAGAAAATGTAAGTCAAATCCATGCAGCATCTGAAGCAAGCCTGGTAGTGTGCACCCCTGATAGATGTATCATCCATGCAAGTTTGGTCAAAATAGGGCTTATATAGTTACCGTAATATTAAGAAATGAGACCTGACCCAAAAACTTTTACCTGCTCCAAAATCATTAACCTGGTCATTCTTTCGCTGAATTGCAGCATCTGCAGAGATCTTGCCTGTTACAATGAAACATACTTGATGAAGCGTCATCTTTGCATTTCTGATTAATATAGAGCATAGAACATGTAGAAGTACATGCATGTACATGAAAAAATGTCTACATACAATGTATTCACTAAAAAAATTTCAACTGGGATGCCGACGCTGCTACCCACACCAA